GGATGATTGTTCTGTGTTAATACTAATTTTCTTTTTTTCACAGAGATGTGGATTATTTGAGATCGAATTCATGAAACTTTAATTATTCGAAGTGTTTTCAATTTTGATAATTACAAAGGGGCGAACACCTTTGGAAAGGAGTTGGATTGTAAATTAATTAACAAATATAGTCCTGATGGCTGATGTTCTTGACGGCTGTTCCAGCGCATCTTACTTCACCATACAGCCATTAGATTTCGTGCGTCGTGTCCGTATTTGACGTTAAATTATTCTAGCAATTCTTCATTTATTATTTACGCAGCAGCAGGTGGGATGAGGTAATATATGAGATAGGGTTTGTTGTTTGTTGGCTCTTATCAGTTTAAGTTTTTTGTGTCGTATGGAAATTTGAAGATGAAAAGTATTCCCATGTAAGCGAGTGCTCCTCAAATATCAAAACTTGGTTCGATTTTGTGCAAAACTATTAAAAAAAAATACCATGGACATCATTGTCCTTCTTCTGGACATGGTATTAATGACATTCTGCAGATTGGAGTCAACAACTGCAAAGTGCGACGGAAAATTTGAACTGAGCGGACTTAACCATGGCCACTTGGAGCAAGGAATTAAAAACCATGCCATAGTGGGACACAGTTTTAAAAATTTCACGTTGCCAAAAATTTATGATTGTCATATCCAGTGTTTTGACGAGAAATGTAAGTGCCAAGCATTTCAAATATCTGGGGATCGCTGTGAGCTGTTGGATGAAGATAGATATTCAACTCCTGATGAGTTCATATATACTCCTGGATACGCTTACTTTGATAGGAGCAGGGAATATATTCACCAGGTAAGGGTGATATGTCTACTGGATGCAAATATTTCGCTCATTCGAAATGCTGGTTTGTCTCACTTCTACTTTTTCTGACGGCCTTCGAAAACGACGTGGGTGTTAAGTGCCGCTCTCGCTAAGAGCCGTCCTCTCGACTTCTTGTTGGAAAAAAGTTTTCTTTTATTTTTTGCCCATGAAAAGGGTTTAGGACACATGTTTCTAAAATAGTTTAGTTGTTCTCCAATTCTCTCTTTTTACGTCGCCCCAAGCCAAAAAGGATTTTTGGCTATACCATCCCAG